GTGGGGGGAGGGACGGAGTGCGGTAGGGGAAGAGGCGGTAGTAGGGTACCGACTCATCGAACGTGACGTCCTGGGAGGACAGAACACGTCGAGAGGTGGGGTGGTAAAACTGCCACCCAGGGGCGTCGGGGGGGAACCCCAGGAAGACGCAGGGAGAAGCACGAGGGGATAGCTTGTCCGCAGACAGGTCGCGAACAAACGCCCGAGATCCCCAGACCCGGAACGCCGACGCATCGCCAACCTTCCCCGTCCACAGCAGGGCTGGGGAGGTCTCCGGTCGAGAGACCCTGGGGTGGAGGTTGATCTGGTGCGCAGCATACCTGACCGCAAACGGCCACAGAAAATGGGGAGCAGCCGCATGCATCATGGACGTACGAGCGACGTCCATGACCATGCCAATGCGGCGCTCAGCAATCCCATTCTGCTGCGGTGAGTCCGGAAGCGTGAAGGTCTGACGGATGCCTCGCGCACGACAGTAGGCACTCAGGAGGCCAGAGGAGAACTCTCCGCCTCTGTCCGAGTGCAGACGCAAAACAGGGAAGTCAGAGCCAAAGCTCCTCCGAAGCTGGAGACGAGCTGCGCGGATCCAGTCGATCAACACCGCAGTGACCTCACCCTTGCTGCGCAAGGGGAAGACTGTGGTGTAACGCGAGTAGTCGTCAACCACCAGCAGGAAGTAGCGCTCCTGACCCTGTCCACGGACGCGGGCTGGGCCCCACACATCCATGTGAAGCGTCTGCAACGGGGCCTCTGTCGGAGGAAACTGGGAGGAGTGAGGGGCAGCACGCTGGCGCCCCTCGACACAGGGGACACAGGTGGGGCCAGGGCCCGGAGGAAGGGGAGGGAGAGACCGGGGAAGACCAGACACAAGGACTCGCGAGGCCATGCCTCTGAGCCGAAGCAGAGAGGGGTGGCCAAGGCGGTGGTGCCAGAGGAGGGTCTCGTGAGACAAACGACGGCACGAGCAGGGGGCAGACTCAGGACCAGACCTGGACGCTGCAGCAAACACCTGACCAGACGAAGTGACCCTACCAGACTCAGCACCTGGAGGAGAAGCAGTGGTCAGAGTGTACAGGCTCGACCCTGGCCGACGTGTAAACGTAGCCAGGTGGCGACCTGTATCCGCCTCCGTGCAGTGGGTCACCCGCTGACGAGCAGGGGTGAACTGGTGGACACCCGCATCCTGGAGGTCAGCACCACTCACCAAGTTCGTCGAGAACGAGGGGAGGTAGAGACCAGTCAGGGTGCCAGAGGGGGCCGCCGGACACGGGAGGACAGTGGAGAAGCGAGACAGGACAGGCCCCCCAGAGGGGTCAGCCAGGGACACCGCAACCGGCCGACTCAGCGGCGTGAGAGTGGTGCGGTCCCGAAAGAAGGAGCGAGACGCTCCAGAGTCAAGGGTGAAGGTGTGAGAGGCCGAAGCCGACACAGTACCTGAGAGGGCAGACTCACCAGCACCTGAGAGCACAGACGCACTGGCACCTAGAGCAGCAGCCTCACTAGTACCTGACGCGGCAGTACCAATGCCCGGGTCGGGCGGGAAACACCGGTAACAGTCATCCTCATCACTACCAATCGCAGCATACATAGCAGAGAGAATAGCATCAAAATCAAGATCATAAATAGCTACACCAGCCCTAGACAGCTCTCCCCAGCGGGGGATCTCAGCTGCCTCCGGAAACTGCTGACGCCAGGCGTCAGTCAGGCGGCCAAAGCAGCGGCGGGCAGTGTGGGCGCCTCCACACCTCTCCCCTGCACGGTCACCGGTGCGGAGAACGTAGGGGCAAGGACCAAGCGCACCACCACGCTGACGCTGCGAGTACCACTCACGGAGCTGCTGAGGGGCGGGGACGGTGCGAGAGCGCTGCTGCTGCTGTGGCTGCTGCTGCGGCTGCTGCTGCTGCTGCTGCTGGCGCTGACCACCCCCGGAGCTGCTCCGCTGGGACGAGCCACTCCGACCCCCGCCTCCACTGCCACCCCCGCCTCCACCGCCACCCCCGTCTCCACCTCCACCTCCCCCACCAGGACCGTCGCTCCCACCGCTCCCACCGCCTCCTCCGCTACCACCTCCGCCGCCACCTCCGCCTCCACCGCCGCCACCAGTACCTCCACTCCCGCCACCACCCCCACCGCCACCCCCACTCCCCCCGCCACCCCCACCGCCTCCTCCACCGCCCCCTCTAGCTCCACCCGCTCCCTTGCCCCCCTTGCCCTTGCCAGCGCGGCGTCTGCCGCTGGGGGCAGACGCCGCGCCGACCGACTCAAAACCAGTGAGGTCGGCCGCAGCGGCAGAGGCGACAGAGGGCAGCAGGGGGGAAGGACCACACCCCTCAAAGATAGGGGTGCGAGGGTCACCCCGAGAGGCCCCTACAGCGACAATACTCTTCTCAGCCGCTAGCAGGGACTCCTCAAGGAGGTCGACAGTGAGAGTGGTGGGACAGACAGAGAGAAACTGGTCCCTAACGACACGAAGGGACTCAGGGAGACGGGTGACGAGAAAGTAGAGAGTGATGTACATGGGAGGAGGGTTCGCAGCGCGGAACTCAGCAGGAAGGGCAGCGCGGTAGCGGGTGTCACTAGCACGGAGGTGGGTAACGAGGTCAGCGACAGTGGGAAAGGAAGCGAGGTCAGGGAAGAGAAACGGTAGCATGAGGCGGCTAAGGGTAGCGGAGGAAGGGGAGGAGTAGCGTGCAACTACAGCGTCGTACAAGGCCTGAGCGGTCTTGCACTGACTAAAGTGGGCACGCTCAGAGGAAGGGAGGTGGCGACGCACAGCAAGACGTGCAGCAGCATCGCGGGTCGCCCACTTGGAGCGAACGGCAGAGTCAGCATCAGCAGGTGGGGCAGGGACAGCGCCAGAGACAAAGTCAAAGAGAGAGACCTCATCTATCGCATCACACAGTAAGTACAGCTGCAGGTCTTCAATCCAGACGGCAAAGTCAATGGCCCTCCCCTCAGCGTCAAAGGTAAGAACATTGGGGGTGGCCATGACAGCAGCTGAAAATCTCACCGGGCTGGGAGAGGCGGGTAGGTCAGCAGCAGAGGAACAGCAGCACGGCTCCGCAGGCGGCTCGGGCGGCGCGGGCGGCTCGGCGGCGGCTCGGGCGGCGGCTCGGCGGCGGTTCGGCGGCGGCTCGGCGGCGGCTCGGCGGCGGCTCAGGCGGCGGCGGCTCGGCGGCGGCTCGGCTGCTGCTGGGCGGCGCGGGCGGCTCGGGCGTCACGGGCGGCTCGGCGGCGGCTCTGGCGGCTCGGCGGCGGCTCGGGCGGCGGCTCGGCGGCGGCTCGGCGGCGGCTCGGCGACGGCTCGGCGGCGGCTCGGCGGCGGCTCAGGCGGCGGCGGCTGCTGCTGGGCGGATCGGCGGGGCCGCGTAGCAGAGTGGCGGCGGGGCCGCGACCGAAGAGAGCGGAGGGGCCGCGTAGCAGAGGGCGGCGGGGCCGCGTAGCAGAGGGCGGCGGGGCCGCGACCGAAGAGAGCGGCGGGGCCGCGTAGCAGGGGGCGGCGGGGCCGCGTAGCAGAGGGCGGCGAGGCCGCGTAGCAGAGGGCGGCGGGGCCGCGATCGAAGGGCGGCGGGGCCGCGTAGCAGAGGGCGGCGGGGCCGCGTAGTAGAGGGCGGCGGGGCCGCGTGGCAAAGGGCGGCGGGGCCGCGATCGAAGGGCGGCGGGGCCGCGTAGCAGAGGGCGGCGGGGCCGCGTAGCAGAGGGCGGCGGGGCCGCGAGGCAGAGGGCGGCGGGGCCGCGTAGCCGAGGGCGGCGGGGCCGCGATCGAAGGGCGGCGGCGGGGCCGCGTAGCAGAGGGCGGCGGGGCCGCGATCGAAGGGCGGCGGGGCCGCTAGGGAAGGGTGGCGGAGCCGCGAGGGGAAGGGCGGCGCAACGGTCCGCTAGGGGCGACACGACGGGTCGCTAAAAAAAACGCGCCTCGGGGCGCGGTTCGGTGGGCCCTAGAAGCAGTCCCTAGGAGGGAACCTGCTCTGATTCCATGTGAAAACAAAGAACGAGGATGGAATGACTATGAACGAAGTGAGTACAAATAGGAAACCCTAATTGGGTTGTACCCCCTATGGGATACCCCACTATAGCCTACAGAAACAAGTAAGCTATAAGTTCTGACATGTAGTGGGTCACACCATAAGGGGTACACCAGATTAGGGTTTGACATATTTGTACTGTTGTTCCTGCTAGTCACTCCTCATTCTCGTTTCTCATTCTGACATGGTATTACGAGCCTAGGTTCCACCTAGGACCGAAACGATAGGGCCCACCGTTTCCGCTAGCCGCGCCCTCGTGCGCCGCCGTTCTTTTTCCTGCGCCTCGAGCGCCTCCTTCTCAAGGCCCCGTATGGCCCCGCGCTAGCCTCTCACGGCCCCCGATCGGCCCCGCGCTAACCTCCTAAGGCCCCCGTCGGCCCCACGCTAGCCCCGCGCTAGCCTCCTAAGGCCCCCGATTGGCCCCGCGCTAGCCTCCTAAGCCCCCGTCGGCCCCACGCTAGCCCCGCGCTAGCCTCCTAAGGCCCCCGATTGGCCCCGCGCTAGCCTCCTAAGGCCCCCGTCGGCCCCGCGCTAGCCTCCTAAGCCCCCGTCGGCCCCACGCTAGCCGCGCGCTAGCCTCCTAAGGCCCCCGATCGGCCCCGCGCTAGCCTCCTAAGGCCCCCGTCCGCCCCGCGCTAGCCTCCCACGTCCCCTGCAGGCCCCGCGCTAGCCTCTCACGGCCCCCCCTTTGGCCCCGCGCTAGCCCCGACCGGCCCTCCCGCGCTCGCCCCTCTACGACCGAGCCGCACGGCGCGACCCGAACCGAACCGCGCGACCCAGCCGAGCCGCGCCGCCCCAGCCGAGCCGCGCCGCCCTAGCCGAGTCGCGCCGCCCTAGCCGAGTCGCGCCGCCCTAGCCGAGCCGCGCCGCCCTAGCCGAGCCGCGCCCTACTTACCTGTGCATAGCACTACTACTGCTACTGCTACTGCTACTGCTACTACTACTACCACCACTGCTGCTACTGCTACTTCAGCTATGGCTAGCCCTACAGTTCTCTCGTTCGATTCTGAGGGCCGCCCGATTAAGTTTGATACCTGGCTCGATGATCTGCACCTGTTCCTCCAGCTCACTGCCAGAGAGGATATCTCGCTGTACGATCACGCACTAGGCACAGTCCCTGCTCCTGCTACTACTGCTACCGCTACTGCTCGCTCGCAGTGGCAGACTCGCGATGCCCACGCCCGCTTTGCCATTCGCAACTCCCTGCCAGTCGATGAGCGCGAGCACTTCGGCCAGCATCAGACTGCGCAGGCCCTGTACACTGCTGTAGTTGCGCGCTACTCCTCCCCGGCCTCAGCTGCACTAGGCCGTCTCTCCCTTCCCTACCTGTTCCCTGACCTGTCCGCTTTCCAGACAGTCGCTGACCTCATCACTCACCTCCGTACTAGTGATGCTCGCTTCCGTGCAGCCATGCCCGCTGAGTTTCTTGCCTCCAACCCTCCCCCGCTCTGGCTCACTCTCTACCACCTAGTCACCCGCCTCCCTGACACTCTGCGTACAGTCAGGGACCACTTCCTAGCTCGCTGTCCCACTGAGCTCACCATTGCCGCCCTAGAGAAGGAACTACTTGCAGCTGAGAAGAGTATTGTAGCTGTAGGTGCCTCTCGTGGCGACCCCCGCACCCCTCTCTTCGAGGGGTGTTCCCCCTCCCCCCTCCTCCCCTCTGTCGCCTCTGCTGCTGCTGTCGACCTTCTTGGTGCTGAGCAGGTCGGCTCTGCGTCCGCTCCCAGCGGGCGCCGCAGCGGCAAGGGCAGGGGAGGCAAGGGCGGTGGGGGTGACGGCGGGGGAGGTGGTAGTGGGGGTGGTGGCAGCGGCGGGGGCGGTGGCGGGGCTGGAGGGGCTAGTGGCAGCGGTGGGGGTGGTGGAGGCAGCGGCGGCGGCGGTGGCCGCGGTGGGGGCGGTGGTGGTGGCGGCAGTGGACGTGGCGGCGGCAGGGGCGGTGGTGGTCGTGGTGGAGGCGGCGGTGGTGGTCGTGGAGGCTCTGGCACTAGCCAGAGTGCGCAGCACCCTCAGTCCTCCCAGGAGCTTCGTGAGTGGTACTTACAGCACGGGGGTGGGGGGGGTAGCCTTAGCTGCACGTACGTCATCCGCACTGGTCGCCGCAAGGGACAGACGTGCGGGAGGGCGCACACTTCGCAGCGCTGCTTCTCTCGCCTAGATGACGCTTGGCGTGCTCAGTTTCCTGACGCTCCTGAGCTCCCTCAGTGGGCTGATCTCCTCAAGAAGGATATCGATATCTATGCTCTTGATTTTGATGTTATTCTCAAAGCAATGTATGCATTGACTATTAGTGGAGAGGAGGACCAGTACCTGAGTGTTCCGCCTGACCCAGGCATCCGCACGAGTGAGGCTGCCGCCCTAGGTGCTTGCGTGTCTGCTGCCCCAGGTACTGGTGAGGCTACTGCTCTAGGTGCGTGTGTGTCCGCCACCCCAGGTGCTACTGAGTCCACTGAGGCACTGCACACCTTCACTCTAGACTCAGGCGCTTCGCGCTGTTTCTTTCGTGACCGCACTGCTCTTGAGCCTCTTGCTCGACCAGTCGCTGTCTCGCTCGCTGACCCCTCTGGGGGTCCGGTCATTGCGACCTCCTCCACCCTCCTTCCTTGTCCTGCTGTCCCGTCGGGCACACTGTCAGGTCTCCACCTCCCCTCGTTCTCTACGAACTTGGTGGCGGGTTGTGCGCTTCAGGATGGGGGTGTTCACCAGTTCACCCCTGCCTACGAGCGTGTGACACACTGCACGTGTGCTCGGACGGGCCGTCACCTGGCTACCTTCACTCGGCAGCCGGGGTCGGACCTGTACACACTGACCACTGAGTCCCCTCAGGTAGCGGCGTCTGCGTCTGCGTCTGCGTCAGGTCAGCTCTCTGCCCCCTGCTCGTGTCGCTCTCTAGCGCACAAGACTGTCCTCTGGCACCACCGACTTGGTCACCCGTCAGTGCAGCGCCTTCGGGGCATGCACGCCCGGTACCTTGTCTCTGGTCTTCCTCGGGTACTCCCTCCCCTCCCACCCTCCCTTGCTCCTCCTTGTCTTCCCTGTGTCGAGGGGCGGCAGCGCGCTGCCCCTCACTCCTCCTCGTTCCCCCCGACGACTGCTCCTTTGCAGACGCTCCACATGGACGTGTGGGGCCCAGCCCGCGTCCGTGGTCAGGGCCAGGAGAGGTACTTCTTGATCGTCGTTGACGACTACTCGCGCTACACCACGGTCTTCCCGTTGCGCACCAAGGGTGAAGTCCCTGATGTTCTGATCCCTTGGATCAGCAGAGCACGTCTTCAGCTGCGAGAGCGTTTTCGCTCGGAGTTTCCTGTTCTGCGCTTGCACTCTGACAGAGGTGGCGAGTTCTCCTCCGACCTGTTGGCAGCCTACTGTGCCGAGCATGGCATTCGCCAGTCGTTCACGCTCCCGGCCTCTCCACAGCAGAATGGGGTTGCTGAGCGCCGCATTGGCTTGGTCATGGAGGTCGCTCGTACCTCCTTAGTCCACGCGGCTGCCCCCCACTTTCTGTGGCCGTTTGCGGTCCGGTACGCTGCGCATCAGCTCAACCTCTGTCCCCGTGTCTCCGCTCCGGAGACCTCGCCCACACTGCTGTGGACGGGGGAGGTTGGCGATGCGTCACGCTTCCGTGTCTGGGGATCCCGAGCTTTTGTTCACAACACGTCTGCGGACAAGCTCTCCTCCCGCACTGCTCCCTGTGTCTTTCTTGGCTTTGTCCCGGATGCGTCTGGCTGGCAGTTTTACCACCCCGCCTCGCACCGAGTCTTCCCCTCTCAGGACGTCACTTTTGACGAGTCCGTGCCCTTCTACCGCCTCTTTCCCCTACCGCACTGCCCCGCTCCCTCCCCCGCCTCTCTTCCTCGCGCCAGGTGCTGCAGTGGTAGACCCCCTTCCCCCTCAGGGTGCCGCTCCCTCAGGTGTCTCTCAGGTAGACCCGGTTGAGCCTGCCGAGGTAGCTGTCGACTCGTGTCCTGCTGGAGGTGCTGAGCCTGAGCGTGCGGAGCCTGAGCGTGCGGAGCCTGAGCGGGCGGAACCTGGGGGTGCTGAGTCTGGGGGTGCTGATCCTGGGGGTGCTGAGCCTGGGGGTGCTGGGTTTGGGGGTACTGAGCCTGGCGTTGCTGAGTCTAGGGGTACTGCGCCTGGAGTTGCTGAGCCTGGGGGTGCTGAGCCTGGTGGTGTTGCAGTTGACTGTGAGGCGCCTGGAGGACCTCCCTCTTCGCAGCAGCTGCGTGAGTGGTACTCACGGTACTGCAGCCTCCGGCGGGGTGAGTCTCGGGCTCGTGGTACTGCTGGAGTTGGTACTCGTGCTTCCCCACCACGGCGGGAGCCGCCCTCTTCCCCTCAGCTTCGAGAGTGGTACGCTCGGCACATCAGTCTCCGTAGTGGAGCTGCTGGTGCTGGGGTCCCCGGAGTTGACGCTGCTGCGAGTACTACGGACCCTGGTGCTGAAGGTGCTGCTGCTGCTGGCGGTGCTGCTGGAGGTGCTGCTGCTGCTGGCGGTGCTGCTGGAGGTGCTGCTAGTACTGAGGACCCGGGCGTTGGAGCTGCCGTGGGTGCTACGGACCCTGGTGCTGGAGGTCCAGCTGCTGCTGGCGGTGCTGCTGGAGGTACTGCTGCTGCTGGCGGTGCTGCTGGAGGTGCTGCGGACCCTGGTGCTGGAGGTGCTGCTGCTTCTGGAGGTGCTGCTGCTGCCGCTGGTGTCTCTGCTGGTTCGAGAGCTGCTGCACGGCCACGACCGTACTTCGTTCCGCTCCTTCAGCAGGTTCTTGGTCAGCCTCCTCCTCCTTGTTCTCCTCTCGCCTTAGAGTGTCCGCCGTCTGTCCAGTCACAGCCACAGTTACCGCCTGCCTCCCCACTCCCTGTGCCTGCTCCTTACACTAGTCCGACTGACGGTCTTGCTGAGAGACGTGAGCCTGCGTCATGTCCTGTGTCACCTGCGTCTCGTCGAGCGTCGCCTGTTCGAGCTGCTACCACTGGTAGTCGTGTCCCGCGTGAGCGTCCTCCTGCTGTCCCAGGCACGCACCGGATGGCGCTTCGTCAGTCCACTGCTCCGTAGCGTGTTGCTCTCCCGTCGCCTCCTGCGTCCTCTCTTCCTGCTCTTGCTGACCCGGAGTCAGACTCCCTTCGCGCTGCCAGTCCTACTGTCACACGTCTCCTGGCTACGGTTGTCACTGACCCTTCCTTTGAGTCCGCTGCTGCGTCTGCCCTAGTCACTGAGCTTGTCGACTTTGCAGCTGCGTGTCGTCTAGACTACGCAGCGAGTCTTGTTGCTGAGTCTGAGTCTGCCTGTCCTCCGTCCGTCGGGGGTGAGTGTGCTCTTGGCACGGACATCCTTGAGGACAGGCAGGAGGAGTTTGGTTGCCTTGCCGCTGCTTTGCCCCATCTCGTGTCCATGCTTGTTGCCCCTGAGGGAGACCCGGATGCACCAGACATCCCGACCCCACGCTCTTACGCAGAGGCGATGGCCGGTCCCTACTCCTCTCAGTGGCAGTCAGCCATGGACACAGAGATGGCTTCCTGGAAGTCCACAGGCACCTACGTCGACGACGTTCCCCCACCTGGGGCGAACATCGTCAGTGGCATGTGGATTTTCAGGGTGAAGCGGCCGCCAGGCTCTCCGCCTGTCTTCAAGGCGCGTTACGTTGCACGAGGCTTCAGTCAGCGAGAGGGAGTTGACTTCTTCCAGACCTTCTCCCCGACCCCGAAGATGACCACTCTTTGGGTTCTGCTACACGTCGCCGCTCAGCGTGACTACGAGCTCCACTCTCTTGACTTCAGCACAGCTTTCTTGCAGGGCAGCCTGCACGAGGAGATCTGGCTGCGCCGCCCACCTGGCTTCACTGGGTCTTTCCCTCCCGGCACCCAGTGGAGCCTCCGGCGGCCAGTCTACGGTCTCCGCCAGGCGCCGCGTGAGTGGCACGACACACTGAGGACTACACTTGCGGCTCTTGGGTTTGCTCCTTCTACTGCTGACCCGTCGCTGTTTCTGCACACCGACACCTCGCTGCCGCCGTTCTACATCCTCGTGTACGTCGACGACTTGGTCTTTGCCACTGCGGACACTGCCGCACTCGCCCACGTGAAGTCCGAGCTGCAGAAGAGACACACGTGCACAGACCTGGGTGAACTGACAAGCTATCTTGGCTTGCGGATCACCCGGGACAGAGCACGCCGCACCATTACCCTGACTCAGTCACACATGGTGCAGCAGGTCCTTCAGCGCTTCGGCTTCACGTACTCCTCGCCTCAGTCCACTCCTCTGCCTACGGGTCACTCGCTCTCAGCTCTGCCTTCGGATGAGTCCGTAGAGTCGAGTGGTCCGTATCCAGAGCTTGTGGGCTGCCTCATGTACCTGATGACCTGCACTCGACCTGACCTAGCATACCCTCTCAGCATCTTAGCACGCTATGTTGCTCCCGGCCGTCACCAGAAGGAGCACATGGATGCAGCTAAGAGGGTGTTGCGCTACTTGTGCAGTACGTCGGGCATGGGGCTAGTGCTTGGAGGGCGAGACCGGCCTGTTCTCACTGGGCACTCAGACGCTTCTTGGGCAGACGACCAGGCTACTCAGCGGTCGTCTCAGGGTTACACCTTCAGTCTTGGCTCTGGCTCTGTCTCTTGGCGTTCTACTCGTTCTTCTTCTGTTCTCAGCTCCAGCTGTGAGGCTGAGATCTACGCCACGGCCATGGCTGCCCAGGAGCTTCGCCGGCTCACCTACCTGCTGACTGACCTTGGAGAGCAGCCTCGTTCTCCTCCAGTGCTGTACGTCGACAACAAGGCAACCATTGCCTTGTGCCAGGAGCACAGACTGGAGCACAGGACGAAGCACATTGCTCTGCGTTACTTTCTAGCTCGAGAGCTACAGCAGCGTGGTTAGGTTCTTCTGCGTTACGTGGCCACTGAGGCCAACACTGCTGATGTGTTCACCAAGTCGCTTCCGCCTGTTGACCATCAGCGTTTTTGCACTCTTCTAGGCCTTGTGCCGACTGTTTCTCACTTACTTACTTCTTGACTTTACCTGTACTCTGATCATTATATATATACCTGCATGTTTGCCTTGTTAGGTTGTGATCATTGTACCTCTTGCTCTATTATAAAACTGCATGTGAACTGGTCTTGTGACCGCTTGCTTGTGCTCGGAATTTGTGTGGAATCCTCGAGATCCACCCTGAGCTTGTTTGCCTTATTTTGCCTTGACTGGTCTTGTGACCCCTAGGTCTCCCCCACTTTGCTTATGGGGGTGTGTCAAACATTTATATGTTTGTGTGGTTCTAGGCTGTAGTGGGTCACACCATAAGGGGTACACCAGATAAGGGTTTGACATATTTGTACTGTTGTTCCTGCTAGTCACTCCTCATTCTCGTTTCTCATTCTGACATGATCGGCCGGCATCAGGGAAAATCGCCGAGGCGAATGGAGGCTCCGTGAAAAAAAACTCTGCACTGACCGGGAAACTCCAACCGAACACCCACGAAAGCAAGAATTCGTTAAAGTTATCCTACAAAGATACTTTAACAAAGAAAATTACTTCTCATGGTTTCCAAGCCTTTGAGAAATTCAGGGGAGAGTTAGAGGCCAAGAAAAAGCCTTTAGACATTATTCAGATACCTGAGAAGTTGGGCAAAGCATTGCGGAGCGTAAAAAAGGGTCGTACGTTCCGTGGATTAAATATTCTCTCCCAGCATCACACTGTTAAAGCTCCTCGTTGTCCACATGTGAAGCTACACAGCTGCAAAGACTTAGAGGGAAATTCCAAGCTCAGGAGAAGTTGTTCAAGCCTCGGAAAAATCCTCCTAACCCCCAGGTGAAGTTGGAAAGTGCTGAGTCAGGTATAGGGAATAGGGATGGTATTCATTTTGATATACCCTATAATCATATTAACAAGACCCTCTTTGGCTACTCAGCGCAGCATGAACCACTACTCCTTGAGGTGTTATGCAAACAACGACGCCTCCAGGCACTGGTGGACAGCGATGCATCTAACTCGGTGTGTGACCGCGGAACATTGGAGAAAATTGGAGAACCTTCGGAGGAGACCAAGTTCACGGCAACAATGGTGGACGGTACGAAACTTCCCATCCACGGTAAAGCATCACTGCAGCTGCACATAGGGGCGCTGAGGTGGAAGCCCACGTTTCCGATCATGAACATCAAGGGTTTAGATTTCATCTTGGGGCGAGATTTGTTGAAGCGGTTCAACCCCGAGATGGACTAGGCCAATAGGAAGGCGTGCATCTACAACAACGGGAAACGAGTGGAGCTGCGAAGCTTGACGGATACAAGTAGCGTTCCTGAAAAAACACCAGCACGGTTTGAACAGACGGTGAACGAAAGTAACACGAGATACCTAGCACTAGTTATGGCAGCAGAAGAGGAGGAGAAGCCAAACACAGAGCTACCTGCAGCACTGAAGGAGGTCTTGGAGCAGTACAAGGATATTGTGCCCGACGACCTACCTGCAGGCGTACCTCCAGCATGCACCCACGAGCACGAGATTGTGGAGGAACCAGGTGCAAAACCCGTCTCACGTGCACCATACCGACTGAGTCCAACTGAATTGACACACATGGAAAAGCAGATAGAATATCCACTAGATAGACAACTCATCTGCCCATCCACCTTGTTAAAGAAATTAGAACGTAAGGGCCTAGGCTTAGGAGCCTAGGCCCAACTTAGGTATCGAGCGGGTTTTCCCCTAGGTAGGAGTTCGAGTGAGTTGAGAGGGAAATTGGTGAAAAGGTGGTTTCACTATAGGTTCAGGGGTACATATAGCATAGAAACAAAATAAGGTGCACCACCAACAAAAGTTTACATAACTACACTAACTACAACTACAAGCAATTACAAAACATGACAAAATATTTCGACACGCCCCCATAATGCTTGTAGGTAGGTATGTAGTTACAGCAACAGCAGGTACCCCTACCATCTCCTCACCCTCCTCCTTCCCCTCCCCCACACTGCTGCAGAAGCAGCAGAGAAAGGGGGAAGAGAGGAGAGGTGGAGGGACGGCTGCTTGTTGCCTCACACCCGCCACCCCGGTACCACTCCCCCTCCTCACCCACATCCTCACACCCTCCTCCCCCAGCGGCAGCTGCAGCGGTGGGACTGAAAGAAGGAGGAGGGAAAGGGAGAGAGTTGACCCCACGCTCCAACACCCTCCACCCCCATACCCTCCTCCCCACGGCTGCAGGGAGACAAGAGAAAGGGGGGGGTGGGAAGGAAGAAAGCCGCAGAGCGGCGAAGAGGCGTCGGTGCAGATGGGTCAGGGGCGGCAGCAGGGAGTGCAGGGGCGGAAAGGCCCGTCGCGGGCCAGTGCCACGGGGCGCACGACGGGTAGCATAAAAGGGCCCGATCGTGTGCCTCGGGGCACACGACGAGCA